AAGGACGAACTGATGGCTGGGATTACTGGTGTCGGCTACTACACGGCACTGACAATGGCAGCATTCGAGGGTACCATTTGTTTTGGAGCTCGGTAGTTATGATTTGTTTTTGTTTTTGGTGTGGTTCCAAAGTCAAGTGTCTGATTTTATTCATGGGAAACAAGGGGAGTTAAGAAAAATGAAGGGGAGGGGGTCTTCAAAAGGTGATCGCGTTATATATATATATTTTTTGGTAGTATGCATGCTTACGAATGCTATCCCTTGCTCATTTTTGGCCTTCGAAAACTGGTGTCAGATTCCATTACCCTGTTTTGTCAGAGAACTGATGTTCCGTCCATGTTCGCTTCTGGAGTGTTTTTTTTTTTTTTTTTTTTTGCTTGTAATCTACGCACGTCGTACCGCACCTAAAACAGCCGCGTTTTCTGCTGAACCAGTTAAACTGAGAAGGTCCTGCAATGCGCATCAGCAGGGGTTCTTATTTTCGTATTTCGTGCTTCTGTGAATGCTGCTGGTGGGGAGAGACGGATGCAAGAGATGGCACTATTTATACCTGTTAGTGGTGGAAATTGTACTTGGTTGCTGGGGAACCTCAGAGATGTAACGCGAATCCATTATCCACACTTGCGAAATTCGAAGAGATCTCTTTACCATGTGTAAGATACATGCCCAACGGTAACAAAAAAAATATTTAAGCAGCTGTTGGTAAGTAAGTCGTACCGTTGAGGTAAACCCCATAAAGCTATGAGGGGAAAAAAAAAAAGGATTGAGAAAGCGAAACCCTTTGCTTATGTAGACATGAACGGGAGGATCCTTCACCAATCGTTCCGAAATTGGAAAGTCGAATCTTATACCACTCCTGTTGAAATTTGGTATCTACCCCGGAATGGATTGTTGGTTTCTCTCGTGGTCACCATACCCAAGTGGTTACGGGGACTGACTAGAAATCAGTTGCGATCTCGCGCGCAGGTTCGAATCCTGCTGGTGACGTTTTTTCGCATTTCCCCAAAAAAACGGAAATGCGACGCTGATGCCAGAATATCCAATGAAATAACCCCCAAAGAGATGTCACCTGGGTCTCTGCTATTATTGCCCGCATCTCAAGTTACCTTGGATGTGGGGGAAAAACACCCTTACTTCCCATCGATTACAGAACACATTATCCCGGGACCCTACCAAAGACAATACAGAGTTTAACCAAGGGGAAGAAACAGCAGTTACGAGATTTGGAATAGAAGTCTAGGACTGATACGGTTGGTTTCTGCGAAAGGTACAACCCCATATCACCACTAGTTGTCACCGGTACAGTTTCCAAAAAGTAAATATACCACCATTATCATCGAACCCCACTTATCCTATGCAGCACTGTACTGTAAGTGAAACAAGAGATCCTGCTCTCTGCACAGAGTGTGGGTCATAATACACGTACAGGAGTGCTGTAGTACTTCACATGGTAAAGAAATATGGGTTCAAGAGGGGCGATACTCTCTGGAAGATAAAATTCTCTCATTCACCACTTCCGCCCTCGTCAACATCATCACATCAAAAACTAAAACCAAAACCTGCAATAAGCCCATTTGCTTGCAACAAGTGTTCCCGAACATTCCCGCGGAAGAATAGATTAATTCGCCACCTTCAAATAGATGCACAATGTCAAATGCCTTGACCCAGAAGGGAAACACCCTAGAGCTGATGAACCACCGATACCAGAAAGAACGGCGATACCCTGCGAGAAGTGTGGCATTATAGTATGCTGCAAAAAGAGCATGAAATCCCATATTAAAACACAACATCGTGAAGATCCCAAGATCCCACAAAAGATACACCGGCACGAATTTAATCCCACAGTTAGCATCGTTATGCTTTAAGTTTTATAGAGGGTGAGTGGGTTTTAAACACCATCCCTGCACATGTCACGTTGCTATTGGATCGCACCCTTTTTACACCATTCTGTCTCCAGTTTGCGGTAGTTGGTATGTTGGTATGTCCCTTTGGGATTTATATTTTTCTAAATGGTTAGCCTGACTTCTTATGGCTGTGAAGCAGAACTATACAACAACACAACGCTTTTATCCAGAAATAAATAATTCACCCACTTCTTCCACCGTCAGAGATTTCCTCGTTATGCCTTCCGACTAACTAATCCGTATGTGAACTCTTCTAGACATGGAATTTTGAGTTCATCTCTTTCAGAATAATTGTTTGGTGGTTTTGACTCACCTGAGTTTGTTCCGGTACATGATCCTTAGAACACACCAACGTGGTAAATCATCATCAGAGTGCGTTCCATCCCTGAATCACAAATCCACGACAAAATAATAATAATAATAATAATAATAATAATAATAATAATA